AGTCACTATGAGTCGGCATTGACTCGATGGCAGTGAGTTTGGTTTGGGGGTTGGTAGTCTGGGGTAGGGATTGTTGGATGCTGTAACTTAACTATTATTTAGAAGAAACAAAAAAATTGTTTGAATACAAATTATTATGAAAGGGGTGGGGAACATATCAATATTATAGTAACTCTTTATGGCAGAAGCATACATTGGCATTGTACACATGTTTTGGGAACTGGTTGTTAAAATGATAACCTTATGTGCGTCAGAGTAGAACTGTGAAAACTGGATTTTCAATGACTGGTATTTAGGAAATAGATCCCAGGTCTTCTCTCAAAGAGCCTCTGGGTGGATTTGAACCCCTCACCCTGTAATTAGCAGTCAACTGCATTGACCATTTGCACTCCCCATGTGCTCCTTTATTTGACCCATGGTAGGTTTGTTTCCTCCCCCACTTTCTTTAGTTGAGACCGAATTCACCAGCAGATCAAGAGAGAGAACATTTCCTGCATCCATCTCCTTTCCTTCCCCCTCCCAGCCTGTCCTCCCTCTAAAGGAACCATCAGTCTGAACTCTTTCTCCGCAGATTGGTTCATGAATGGAGCGATTTCTTGTCTCCTTTTTTGAGGTGTGTGGCTATTTTGGTTTTGCTTTGTTTTGCTTCATATGCCATCTTTGAGATTCATCTGCGTTGATGCTGAGCTGTATTTCATGGTGTGGCTCTACCATCACGTATCCCTTCTGCTGTTAAAGGACAATTCGGTTGAGACCGCTGTGCACATCATTTTGGTGGACATGAGCACGCTTTTCCCTTGGATCGATCCTCAGGGGCAGACTCTTTGTCTGACACAGGATCTGTCGTTTGGTGCCATCAGTTCAGTTCCAACTCACCGCAAACCTGTGTCCATTGGCACTTCAGGATGCCAGGTCCTGCGACATCCTGCCAATCATTCCTGTGTCGGAGCCCATTGTCCGAAGAAACTGGGCAGCTTTGGGTGATAGCTTCCAGAGTTACTGCTACGTAGTTTTCCGGAGTGGTTGTACCAATATTGACTCCTGCCAACAGTCTATGTGAGTTCCAGTTACCCAACCTATGGTCAACCCTTGGTCTTTTTAGTGTGTTTCGTTTTAGCCACCCTGGTGGCGCCCTCATGTAAGCATTGAACTGTTAACCTCAGGGTTAGTAGTTCGAATACACCAGCTGCTCTTGAGGAGAAAGAGAGGCTGTCTTCACTGTCTCTAAAACCACCTGTGGGGTTGCTGTGTGTCCAAAATTGACTTGATGGCAGTGGTGGGTGGTGGCCTTTAGATGTGAAAATGAAAATCCTGTGTTTTTCTTTAATGATGGGATTATCTGTAAGAGTACAATTGGCTTGAGGTCGCCAGTCTATAATATCCTGCCACTAACTTTCCATTTTATCAGAGTTCAATTTCCCTTACCTCCCACCTACCCCCTGCCAAGTGCCTTCACATTTTGTGTCATGGGCAGCCTGTTCCCATCAAACAACTGAAGATTGTGACTGCTGGCTCCCCTGGCTCCGGTGTGCCCTTCCAGCGAAATCAAAGTCTTCTCCCCAAGACAAAAGTTAGGTACCATTCACACTCTTTCTTAGTGGGCACATCCTTGCCCTTCTTCCTCCCCCTTCACACCTCCCCTGCACAGTCCCCCGCATCACCATAACCCATCCTCACAGAAAGAATAAAATCCGGTAAAATCCAATCTTATCATCTTGTTAAAAGCTTGTCCAGAAGGGACCGTTTCCCTAGAAACAGATTGTAGCCAAACAAAGGCATAATGATAGTTCTCTTCCCAGTCTACAGTCCTAATTTTTTTTTCTTACTAAGCCTCTCTCTGAGAGATGTATCCATTCGGTGTACTGATTCATTTTCCCAAGCGTCTCTGCAGGAAGGCAAGTCAATTTCAAAGAAATCCCATTACTTTTTAGCAGCATCTCAGAGGTGCCACTGCTTCTCAAAGACAAGGTCTATGAAGTCTGATACAGTGTTTCGGAAATGAATGTGAATCCCATGCCACCAGCAGCTGTGCTGTGCCACCCTGCTCAGATGAAGCGAGCAGTGGCGTCAGCCCTAGCTGAGTAGTGGTGGAAAAGACTGCCCGCCCCTCTGGAGCCCAGGCAAAGGTCCGGTGAAGAGCGTGGTGCTGTCATTGCGCTGTCTATGCACGACCGCACTTTCTGTCCCAGTGAAACGGTTCTCTCTGATGTCAACATGCAGAGCCTCTTGAACTAAAAGAATCATTTTTCCAGAGCTTTCTTATACTTACTTGTTTGATGACTGGAGGGAAAAAAGTCCACCATTAGCCAGTGTGTCTAGCAAACCCTCCACTGCCAGGTGTTTGGTGAGGTGCTGGAAATGACAAAGGTTTGAGTTGTGTCATCTTTAGCACCATCTGAGTAGAACCTTGGTTAGACCTGAGGTTCCTTGATCTGCAAACTGGTGTTTAGAAAGATCCGAGTCTCTTAGATAAGGAAACAATTCAGATACATGGGCGGGATCTCAATGGATTCCTTTTAATAAACACCTTGGATTGCTTTCTAAAGACTTGCTATGGATTTGGAAAATAGAAAAGGAAAAAATGATCAAATTCCCAGGTCCAACAACCAAATTTGTAACTATTTTAGTTAATTCCTTTTGAGTCATTTTTTTTTAAATGTGGATATGTAGGCATGCAGGTGTATATGTTTGCATATATATGTATATATTGGTTTCATGAAAGAGAGATAATACTATATACTGTTCTATTATTAGAAATTCATAAAACATATTTAATACTTTGAATGACTTCATAGAATCAGAATATATATTTTTAGTCATTTCCTACTATTGGACATTTTGATTGTTTGCCATTTTGAAATACTTACAGATGTCTGTTCAGCTGAAATGAGATCTCTTTCTACCATAAACAATGACCAGAATTCCTAGAACATTTAAAATATCAACAGTGTTACTGGCTGTCCATAGCATGCTCTTGATTTTTTTTTCCCAATTGGAAAGCAAGTTTTTCTGTTTTGTTTTGTTTTTTACTTTAATATTTTATTGGGGGCTCTTACAGATATTATAACAATCCATAAATCAGTTACATCAAGCGAACATGTACATATGTTGCCATCATCATTTTCAAAACATTATCTTTCTACGTGAGTCCCTTGATATTCCTGACTTTTAAGAAAATAATTGTGATTTTTCTTAGATATGATGTGATCTGCTTATTTGAGAGGGTTAAAAATTTATTAAATAAGACTTTTTATGCTATTGAAATAATTAGATTTATGCTAATTTGTCCTATGGATGTGATATATGAGTATTATATTAGTAGATTTCTTCATATTAACCTCAGCTCCCCTGGAATGAATATTAGTATAGGAATTATTCTTATATTATTACTATTATAGGTATTATTCTTTTAAGGAATTGTCACATTCATTTCTCTACTATTAGGATTTTGACACGGATGTTCATTGCGTATTGTGATTTTAAGACAATGAGTGTGTCAGGTTAATGAAGCTCTTTTAGCCCTTCTAACCTGTCAATCGGAATCGCTGAAATGAGCGTGAAAAGAAATAGCCCACTCGTGTCTAGGGTTTTCTCCTTCTTTACTCCGATAACGATGGCAGTCAGTGTTTTCCTTTTGTGAATTCACAAAATACTCGTCTTCAGCTCTTTCAAATCACCACATTCTCCTGTGAAGGCTATTTGCATTCCTGCCCTCTGTCTTTGCATGAGTTATCCGGGTCTCATACCTAAGAGTTTTCCACGCCCCCTTCTCCACCTTTAAGCCTTGCCCACCTCATCTCTTACAGAGGGTATCTTTCCATTGTCGACTCTTTCCCCAGGGAGTGCTTACACGGCCGGGCACCTTCTGCAATCCTCTCCCCTAAAGCTGACAGTCAGATCCGGGCACCTTCTGCAATCCTCTCCCCTAAAGCTGACAGTCAGATCCGCTCTGTCACGTGTGCGGTGACCATGGGCAGGAGGCAGTGAATGGCAACACGTGGCTCCACTTGAGGAGAGCGAGGAGGACTTGGGTGGAGTCTGACTCCACTGTGTTTTGCCATGTGCTGGGTATATGGTGACTACTTCGCCGATGCTCCTGAAATGAACCATTTCATTTGTTTTATTCTTTTTGCAATGTAATGTTATCCGGTGGTGATCCTCACATTTCTTTAAAGCCCAAAAAGCAACTTCCCAGACAGTCCGGCCTTTTCATGAACGGTTCCGGGTAGAATCAGGAACATGAGGGGAAGACATGATGACAGCGGTGAAGGGAGAGTGTGAGTCCCCCGCCTCAGCCAGAGTCACGTGGATGTCACTCCGATGGGAAGACTGCCTTTTCTGGTCATCTTTCAGACCATCATGGAGGGAGAGAGTAACCCAGTGCTGTCAAGCTGATTCCACCTCCTTTGACTCGGTGGGACACAATAGAACTGCCTTGTAGAATTCCAAAGGCTTTCGATCTTTATGGAAACAGACTAGCACACCCTCCCTCTGTGGAGCAAATGATGGGTTTGAACTTCCCACCTTTCCAGTTGGCAGCCAAATACTTAGCCATGTACTGCCCAGGCTGGTTAGGGAGGCAGTAGCTAGGCGGTATTTACTAACTCAGTAAGTAACAGAGTTCTTCCAAAGAACGTGAAATGGGTTGTCAGTCATGACTCTCTTCTCTCTCTCAGGTTGTTAAATTCCACACTGTTTGAAAGTTGGGAGATCGTTGGACCTTTCCCTTCCTGGTGGGTTTTTAACCTTCTGCTGTTCTTCGTTCAGGGGATGAACTGCTTCTGGTCCTACTTGATCATAAAAATAGCTTGCAAAGCTATCTCAAAAGGAAAGGTAAGACAAAAACAGCCCGTTTCCAATACCTTCTAGAAAAATTTGTTTCTCAGTTCTGTATCAACAAGAACATAACTTATTATTTCAAGCTTCGTAAAAACTGCTGGTATTGCTTTAAACCAGTGTTTCCCAAAGTGGGTGGCACTGTTCCCTGAGGGTTGAGGGACACTAACGTGATTGGGGGGAGGGGGGAAGTCCTGCAAAAACACATGGCAACTCTATTCTGAATGTTTTTAGTTGCCAAAGGTTGTTCAGTAAATTTTTTTCTGAAGAGGCAGCAGTAGACCAAATCAATCCGGGAACCTCTGCTCCACAACGTACTGTAACCAACACATGAACCAGTTCTCGTTTTTTCTATTGAGCTCTCTTTTTAATAAATCTTTAGCATTGTTGTGCTGATAGTTCCAGCAAGCTGCATGTATCATTTTCGATTCAATGAGAGTATGTTATTTGTATGATTTTTTTTCTCTTTCTCTCTCCTTTTCTCTATCTCTCTTAGACCTTCTCTGATGATTCTTGTTCTGGACAGAAATTTAATAACTTCTCCCCCTTTCTGAGAAAGGTGACCTGGTACAGCATGCCCATTAAAACCAGCCTTTTTCTGACACCGGAGACTAAACCTGTTCATGACTTTTCCACTAAAAGACTTGTTAAATCTCTGTGGTTGAGGGGGGCCTTGTGAAGCTGTGTTCTGAGCTCAGTCTCTATATAACTGTCATGCTCTGTGACATGTGATTCTCTTACTTTCATTGTTTGTTCTCCCCCTGATGCCGCCCTGGAAGGCTGGGAAGTGGAACCCTTTACATGTAAGTTTCTCCCACACCACTCTAGTCCTGTCTCAGGTGCTACGTAGCCTGTTGTGTGTGTGAGGGGGCTGGGGGGGATGGAGGGCACACATTCTAGCTCTTTTATTTTCCTGCATAGTTTTCTGTGCATCTGTTGACACGCACCGAAGGCTCTTACTGAGATGTGGCTCCCACCAGGTGTACAGGGTTCTAGAAAAAGCTGTTATTGCTCTTTTGCATGAACTTGCATTCTGTTAAATCTCACATGCTCTAACAGAGAAAGGGGGTGTGTATCGCTTATTTGGTGCTTGACATTTGGGTTCAGAAGCCAAAATAGATCCAAGAAGGAGAAACAGAACTGAGTTGAGCAAAGGACTGACACAGTCCAACAAAGGACTGAAGGTAGAATGGGGGCCTGAGCAGCAGCTGTCTGGGCGCCCTGCCCAGGTCACAGCGAGGTCCCTGGTGCAGGGATGTGGAATAGGCACTGTTCTCTTGTCCTGTACCATGAGGCCAGTGTGCAGCGTCTGCTCCCACACACGTTCAAACGTTCTGGATCAATGCAGTGTTTTAGATCTGAGCTTCATTTTCCCGTGACTTTTACTCTTTAAAAGGAGCACACATTCCTATTTAAATTATTTTTCCCTGTTCTCATGAAATTGTTTTTCCTTGTCTTCAGTAAATTAATTTGGACACTACCGCAGGGACACAGTGGAGTCAATTAGTTGAGTCCTTAATGTATTGCTATTTCTATCAGACATGTTGTCTTCCCTTCCCATTAGTCCTTCGATTTTACTTCCAGTGTTAATCCTGCCATTACTGTGAACCCAGGGCAGTAAGGTGCATCTTGGGTTACAAACCCAGTTTTCCTGTAGATTCTTATGAGGTCTCCTAACAGGTCCCTCTCTGTGACAATTACACAGGAGGTACACATTTCCTCATGGTCAAATTAGAAATCCTCTTACTAAGCGTGTAAATGTAAGTTGATGACTCTCAAACTAGAGTTTGCTCTTCTCTGAGCCACTTCATTCACGACTCATGGATTCTCAGCAGAGCGGAACTTGACTGCAGTACTGCCTTCGTGGCCCAGGGTTTTTTAATTCAGACAAACAAATCCACCACTGCCAAGTTGAGTCTGATTCACAGCATCCCTATAGGACAGACTAGACCCTCCCACTAGGGTGTCAAGGCTATTTGATCTTTGTGGAAGCAGACTGCCTGGTCCCCCTGCTATGGGCCATCTGGTCAGAACTGCAGGCCCTTTGGTTAGCAGCCGGGCGCTTAACTCGCCGTGCCACCAGGGTTCCTTTTTCAAGAGTGAAACTGGCCTATAATTCAGATGTTTGAGTGTTTCAGAGCCAAACCTTCTTAGAAATGGTCCGCAGGATTTTAGCAACATGTGAGGCAGTCCTGTCGTGAAGTTCCTTACTAAATTATGAACTTCATCTCCAGTGGGATTAGAGCAATGGTTCTCAGTTTTTACTTTCCCTTTTCTTAGCCCACCTGAGAAAGGTGGCATCCTCCTGCAGTAACTGTGGCTTTTACAATGGGTGGGAGTTGATTCCAGGGTCTCAAATTGGCCATGGGGGACCGCTGGTGGCACAGAAAGGTTGTGATGTGATAAGAAGCCCCCGATGAGAGTTAGAGCGTCTGTCTCTGGGCAAACACTTTGCCAGCCTTCCCAGGCAAGTAGACGAGGAAGACTGATAAGAAGCCAGGCCACCTGGCCCCTCGGACCATCCCCCCTTAGTAAATGAGCGAAAGGTCTTAAGATCTGGGTTAAAATGCCTGCTATAATCAGACTGACGAGTAGGAGGTTCACACTATTTAGCATCTCAAAAGCAGTAAAATATTCCCGTCATTTCTCCCTCAATGACTTTCTTGCTAGACATTGAGATGATTTCCATCCTTAGGGTAACAGATGCCCCTGTAATTTGTTGCCTTCTCTTGTTTTTCACATCACTTTAATGAAACTGGGTGCAGGATTAGAGAACCCTTGAATAGGTGGGAGCCAATTCACGATGTTCCCTTCAGTAGATTTTTTCCGGGAAATATTGTAAGCTTAACCTCACCCAGCAGGTTAAAACTATCCCCTGCAGCCATTAGTTATGTGGCATATAAACCTAAAATTCTGCTTAATTTTAGCAGATAGCACAAGGAAACAAACCACAGAACAAGAGGTTGGAAAGCCCAATAGGAATGGCTTTTTACAGAGATACTCCAAGATGGCAATCTTTCTATTCATGTGGCTCATTGAGCGCCGATGTTACGTGCTTTTCAGGGAAACTATGATCACCTGAGAGTACATTGTTCCCGTGCAGTCGTATAAGGTGCAAGTGTATAAAAGTCTTAGGTTGGCGTTCCTGTAGGGCATTGTGCCACTGTTCAGATCTAGTCCATTCTTCATACGGAAAGCTGCCATAAAGACGTCAACAGGCCCAACCCCGGGATCCCTAAATCCCCCTGTAGTCCGGGATGAGCGACTGCTTACTCCCTCCTGAAAGGAGATTCCTTTACCTGGTGACCTTCTGAGCCTCTTCTGTCATGCCTTCACATGTAGATCTGTCTACCCTCATGTGCCCTTCACTGCATGTGCTTCCGAGCATGCCGTACTCAGAGGACTCGTACAGGGCTGGCCACACTCACCTTCGGTGCATTCCACAGGTGTCCAGGGATGACCGCAGTGACATTGAGTCTAGCTCAGAGGAGGAGGAGGAGGAACCTTCAGGAAAGAGCTCCCACACTTCAACAGCCACCAATGGCACCAGCGGAACCAACGGGTACCTCCTGAGCGGCCCCTGTGCCCTGGATGACTAACTCCTGGACGGCGGGCGAGCCCGGAACAAAGTGGACTGTTTGTTCCCTGGAGTCTTGAATAAGTTGTGAACACAGTTCCTTTCATCCTATCTCAGCACCAGAAATAAAATTTAGGATCATCAAAGCATTTTGGTAGCGCGCTACCACCTATCCTGTCTGTGAAACCAGCCTCTCTACGTAGGCATGCTGTGTGTGGCTGACACAGGGACCGGTCTTTGCATTTGTGCTGTCTCAGACGATTGTTTCTATTCTGTTATCCGTTGGTTACTCTGTGGACGAAATGGGACATCCGCACTCCTTTTACTCTCCGGGTTCATAACAGGGAGGGAGATAGATGCTTCATCTGCGCTGACCCTGTTTTCCTTGTCGTAGCTCCGTCTGCTATGAGCACCAGCCTCGTTGGTCATTTGGAGCAAGTAAAGCCCCGTGCGAGATTCGCATACAGCCCTGAAGAGTTCTGCTCTTCTTGTCCCAGTGCCCGCTTTGAGATTGCCTGTTCAATCTCGGCAGCCACTCTCCTGGAAAAAAGTTTGCACTGGAAGAACTGGGCTTTTTAAGCATCACCGACGGGGTCAATGAGCAGTTCAAATGCAAGAGCATGCCGACTGGTTAAAGAAAAATTGTTCTTGTATGCAATTGCTGTGGGATGGACTTCATGAGATGTCTCCAGTGACTGTGGTAGCTCCTTGGGGGGTTAGCCTACCTTGTGGGTCAGTGTGAGGCCGAATCGATTCGGCAGCTCCCAGCAGCAGCCCCAACATGATGAAGAGATGGCCAGGGCTCTGACCGAGACGTGTGTCTGAGCTCATTGGCAGCCGAAGCATCCACTCACATGCTGGGAATGGGTCCCCATGAGCTGGGAATGACCTAGAAAGACCAACCGAGTTCAACCTGGCATTGCCACCGCCCCTGTCATTACCAGTCCTCTGGCCTGTCAGGAAGAGAAGAAGCTAAGGGTCTTTCTGAGCAGAAAATAGAGCTTTTCAAGAGCTGACAGACATTAGGACCCCCCACCCCCACTGTTCGTTGCATTCCGCTTCCCCGACAGAGACCTAGCAAGTGTTTGTTCTGGATGTTTCTATTTCGCCACCAAACCAAGCCAGCAGGAGAAAGATTCCTTTGTCCATTGTCTGTCTCTTTAAGAAGCCCCAACGGCACAGGAGTTAAGTGTTAATCCAAAGGTCCGCTACCGGAAGTTCTAAACCCCCAGTTGTCACTCCTTGGAAGAAAGGTGCGGGGGTCTTTCATAAAGATGGGAACCCTAGGGGGCGGCTCTCCTCGGGCCCATAGGATCGCTGTGAGTCAGACTGGTGGGACAGCAACAGGTGTGAGGGGTTTTTACGTCTTTTATCCTTAAACATCTCCCAGATGGCTTTCTTGTTACTAGAAACACAGCAGTGTTGCACTCCAAGTCCAAGAATATATGTATTTTTTCAAATGGAGCTATTTCCAGAAGACCACTCTCCAGCCTCTCTTAGGATCGATAAGAAAGGTTTTGAGCCCTCAGTGCCCCCAAGCCTCCTCCCTGCCAGTGTTATTTGTGTGTCACTAAGCAAACCATTCACATAAACCAAAGATTTTTATCTGCCGTTCCCTGTTTTATAGTGAGAGGAAGTAAAGGTATTAAAAAATGCCTATTTCATGAACCCAAAAGACCATCCTCTAAAATAGGAATCCAACCCAGAGTTTCAGGAGCCGGCCCGCGTGGATTGGAGCGTCGTGAAGACAGCAGCAACGGGTCAGAGCGCACTTCCCACGCAGAGACCTTCACGGGTGATTTGATTTCTGGAAATCAGTCAATAAATAGATCCAGCGTGGTGCCCACAATTTGCCATCTGTGAAGTTGGTAGTTAGAAGAATCCTCCCAGCACATCTCACTGTTCCACTAAACCACTCCCTCCCCGCTGTTTGCAAAATAGTGTGTTTCTGGCACGGCCCATAGTAACGGGGAATAGGACTGTGTGTTTAGGGAGAGAAAAATGCAACCCGTTCTGCTGGCAGATTATTTGTTTCATAAGGTAGAAGTCTAATATTTGGAGTGCCATTTGTGGGTGATGGGAGCTTGTCATAGCAACCCTAAAACGTCAGAAGCACCTGTTAGTGGTCTGGACACGTACTGAAGTGCAGGAGAAGCGACACCAAATGTGGGATGGGTTTCAAATGTTGACGTGAAGCTTCTCCTCGCTATGAACGTGTGGAAGGCGAGAGTAGATTGCACCCTGCTTTAGGGTCTGTGGTGAGCCTTGCCTACGAGGTCAGGAACCAGAGACCCACAGTGTATTCAAGTTTTGATCCTATGATGCGTTGGCCCAGAAGAATAATTTCAGCAAGCTCAGGAGAGAAATGAAAGACTTAGAGAGTTGCATAAAATGAAGCCTATTAAGCCTTCCTTCATAGGCAAGTCTACGCAGTTTCTCACATTGTGGTGCCTCATTTTCAAAGAAATCACTTTGAAAGGGAACTGAGAGGACTCCAAGCCTCTTGGGCTAGTGCATCGACTTAGCACAGTTCTCTGTGTACCTTTGGGTTTTTAGTTCACCATACATTTAAGGAGAAAGGGTTCGTTTGGGCTAATCATCATGAAGTGTGTAGGCCTTTTGAAGTGCAGGATGGTATGTAACTCTTCTCACCTGTTCGCAACACCCCACAGTGGCCCGATAAGGCAGGGAGAGAAAAATGTAAGAGTTAGTTTATCTTCTACCTGTACCAGGCCATAGCTTGGGCAGTGTAGTCTGTAAATTCAGCCATAGCTTAGTGAGAGTGTTGTTTCCCTTAATTAGCTTAGCCCGTGTTTATATCTCCTTCCTCCTGGTCACATTCAAACCATCCCAGAGTACAAAGGGGCAGGTAGGAAGGAGTCTAGGAAAAGTAACCATGTTATACGCCAATGTGATAGCTTTTCTAGATCTCTTTGTGAGAGAAAAAGTAGAAAATCAAGTAGAATTTGGCCTTGAGTCAATAAATGATATAAAAGGTGTAATCTATGTATGTGTTTGTAAGTCTATCCAAGAACATGATCAAACCAAAATAGCACTGACCCATCCACATTCGTTTCATAAGAACTATCTACCACATAAAATAGGGCCTGCCCACCTTCCCTGTCAGTTCATGCTGCCTTTTGTTCCTGCTACGGACACACCTGAGAGTGGTAGAATCCTTTCAGTCTCTTAGCCCCAGAGCGAAATATGACAGAGTCCAAGGTGCAGAAAGCCTAAGAGCCCTGGTGGTACAGTGGATTACACACTGTGCTGCTTACCGCAAGGTCAGTAGTTCGAACCCACCAGCTGCTCCTTTGAAGAAACATGAAGCTGTCTACTCCCATAAAGATTCCAAGTCTTGTAAACCCGAAGGGGCAGCCCTACCCTGTCTATAGGGTCACTAAGACTCGATGCCAGTGTGTAGGGCATCATAGAAGACAAATACAGTTCACGTTCCCATGTGGTGATTGAGAGTAGGTGGGCAACTGTCAGTCTTGAATTCTTAAAGTGTGTGTTGTAAAAATGTACATGGTGGCTGCTTCACCCCAGAGTTTGATTAACAGTCAGTTCCACCTGGGCTGTTAGACAGATGGTGTCCTAAGATAGCACCAGGTCTTGGAACAGGACATCTGACAAGGCAGGTCAGGTAGGCTCCCAAAGGCAGGCAGGCCACTGGGTGAGAGAAATAGCTTGAGGAGGTGAGATCAGGTCACCGCTAGCCAAAACTCAAGCATGTCCAGTTCTATTGCCAAACTTTCCTTCCGAGTGTTTGGCGGGAGTTTGAAATGGAGAAACCTGAATGCTTCCATGTTAGGTAGCAGAGGTCTGAATCTCCCCGTTTGTTTATTTCCAGTTCATTGTTGGTCGGGCCAAAGTGAGAAAAAAGTAAACAACTGGATTTCATTGCAACCGACCTGAGTCTTTGCGTCAGTGCTCGTCAACAAGAGCGTGGGTACCACGATGGCCCCCAATCTGGTCACAAGATTGTACTTGTCACAAGATTTGGACTCAGTGGTTACTTGCATCCATTCTTGGAAATCTTAGTGCCAAAGCTGCCTGAATGTATGAGTGTTTTTCTGAATTGAAAAGCATTAAGTCTACAGAATAATGTTCTTAATTTGAAGCAGTCAGAAGCATCCAGCATAATTCCAGAGGCATCCAAAGGCTCTGTTGATCACCCTGTGTCGTGACGTCATTGAGCCCTGTAAGCAGCCCGTTGGAAAGGGAAGGTTCAGTGTTTACGATGCCTGTGGTCTTTGGGAACTTACCATTCTCAGCGTGCTTTTTGTTTTTCTTTGTCTTCGGCTGATTCCAGCTCAGTAGGTGACTGTCAGTAGCTCTGAAATGATTCTAATGCCCAAATAAGAAAAAGGGAAAAAATCAGATTAAAGTCAGCTGGATGGGCAAATGATTGCATGGCATGGTGTCCATTGCTAAGTAATCTGGATGGGAGGAGAAAGAACTTGCCCTCTAGCATGCTGTCGGTGGCAGGAATGCACTCAATTACCATGAACAGTTCTTGAAATCAAGTAAAATGCAGCTCCCCCCCTCCACCAATGTCTGAAGCCTGTTCAAATTTATCTTAGTAAAATGAAATTGTGCCATTCTCAAATTACCAAGTAGTAATGAGCACTGGTTACACTACGACCACGTTTTAGTTCTTCATAGCAAGAGACCAGAAAAGGCGCTGGAAGCCAGCCTCTCGCAGAGGCCTGTGTGCAGGAGGTCCCCATGCTTCCCCTGGAGGGTGCTTAGGAAGGCTGGTCTTGGCCTCTGCTGACACTCGCTAGGGTCTCAACCCTGGTCCTAATTTTCATGAAGAAAACTGTATGCAGGCGCCCAAAACATCGTTTCAAAGCTGTTCGTAAGCTCTACAGACTCCCCAGGAGAAGCTGCAGTGGTCTCCAGGCATTTCCGACGTGCGTCCGTCTGTCCAGAGTCTGTGGAAGGAAAGCATCACTGGGGGGCCACAAGCTAAGGCCTCCCTCTCCCAGGTCAAAGAAAGGAAAAAACTCTCTGTAGCCAGTTGGCATTTGGTGTATCCCCAAAACGAGGCGTTCTAGCGCTCAGGAAGTGGCAGGAGTGGAAAGCAGCATAACACGTGTTTTATTTGTCTCTTTCCACTCACCTCCCTTCTAGCCTTCTG